AAATAATGCATTTTGAAATTCTCCCTTTTTAAAATATTTTCAGAGTACAAGCCACATATTTTTTGACAAATTCTCACAGTGTCATTATCAAGTGAATGTATGTATTACAATGACTGGCTCAGGATGTCTATTGTAATCTTACCTGTTGTCACACTCCACAGACTTCAAAGTGAGTGACACCTATTTTAGGAGATGAACAGGATTTAACACCATATTTCTAGGCTCTATAATGCAATTATGGTTTACACCAATGGCAAAAGATACTCAAAATATTTCATTTTGTTAAAAAAAAAAAAAGCTCCCTTTCCTATGAGAATAAAGCATGATGAAGAGAAAGACTTATTGGGACAAATACAGCATTATAGGGTTCAGAAGTTTTGTGATCCCTACTGCTGTTGCTAGATGCACAATCAAGCCCCTTAGTCCTATTAAGCTGCCAAAGGACCCAGGTTGCTTCATGGTGACTCCCCTTTCTATTGCCAACTCACTGTAGATCTCTTGTCCTCCTGTGTATTACTCCTAAAATTACCAGATCCCTTGGACACCTGCACTCCTCTATTTTCCAACCTTTCCTAATTGCCATGCAGAGACCTGATCGACTTATCCATGTTATACACCATTCCTTCCTGCTACCTCAGAGAACTTTTTCCCTAACCTACTGTTCATATATATTTTATCTGTGCCTGGGTCTCTCATTACAAACCAAGATTTACAAAGACATTCATCTGCATTTGCTTTTAATTGGTCTTTAGATTTCAACTCAGCAAAGAGTAATGTAATAATGAATATCCAAGATCCAGAGACAGACTGTTAGGGCTCAAAACTTTACCCAGGCACCTACACTTTTACAACACAGAGCAAGTTACTTAAAGCCACTGTGTCTCTCTTGCTTATCTGTATGAAGGAGGTGATGCCAATCTTAGCTGGTTGAGAATCAAATGAGTTAGAAAAGTGAAGTACACAGAAATGTTGGGAACATAATAGGCAGACAGTAGCTGTCTGTTACTATTGTTAACATGAAAATTTGATTATTATTTTCATTGTTTTAATGAAATTAAATTATTAAAATGTCCAGTATATAGTTAATAAATATAAGCCCCATTATAGTCAGGTCTTAGATCATGAAACTTTTGCCCAGATCTCTTAATGTACTACTTCTTGTTCTCATCACAGGCGACAAAATGGAATATTATCGTGGAACCTTCACAATCTCAGATCTCCACATCAACGTCAACTCTGGAAAAAAGATCACCTACCTATTTAAGGACCTACAGGAGATGAGTGAAAATTTGGTAAGTCAGATAAAAATTCTTTTCATCATACAAATGCAAGTGGAAGAAATTTTTGGATCATTTCCCTTAGTTCCAAATATGTGATTTTCAGACCATTCACATAAAAAGCATCTTGCAGATTTGTAGGACCTCCCAGAACGGAAAAATCAGTATCTGATGAAATGAATAGGTGAAGACAGGGGTAAAAGAGAATCCTAAGTAGTTAATACTTCTGATGAACCACTTTTTCTAACTCAACCATCTCATTTAAAGATGAGAGAACTGAATTCAAAATATCCGAGGCCACTGCTTCCCTGAGACCAGAACAATAATTGCATATAAAAAAGCCTACTTATATTACAACTCATTATCAATAAGAACACTTTTTTGTGAGACCACATTTTAAGATTTAGAGTATTTTAAAGATATGACAAAAAGACAAAAATGTTTATTTTACATTGCAAATGTATTATTTAAAAAGGCTAATCATGCAGTGCTTAAAATAACTGCTAACAATTTTATCACAGCTAACGTGCAGGGCTTCCTTCCAAGGCAAAAAACAAACACACACTTTTGCACAACATTCTGATCAGGATGCCAACAAACCTTCACTTACAAACTGTCCAGATTAATTTTGAGGAAGCACAGAAGTGGGGTTATTTTAAAAGGAAAGAAATGACAGGTTATGCTTTATTTCAGTTGAAACAATTTTCCCAAAACATTTTCTTTCTCTCTTCAATCAATTGTTATTTTTTTAAATATTCCCATCTGCTGCTTGGCCACAGACAGGATACCCAGTTGCAGTATACTGACAATGATATCACAGACTGAGTTTATAATCTCTCCTTTCACTTAACATTCAATTGTGCACTTTTTTCTATCATGCAGTCTCACGCATGATACGACCAATCTCCAGTCAATAGTTAATGTTGGCTAATTGATGTACATCCTTATGTCCTTTTATAGTAAAAGCAGCTTGGGAAATGGCATTTGCAATCAATTCTTGAGGAATGCAGCCTGCATATGTCCCGAAGCCTCTTGTACTCCTCTCATCCTGAGCAACCCCACATAACCAGCTCAGTGTGAAAACAAAATGAAAAAGAAAAAGAAAGCCTGCCTTAGCGAAAAATATAAATTATTTGAATAATAAGAAATGTTTCATTTTATTAAGAAACTGTTTTGCTTACATTTTATACAGAACATTGTTGTCTTAAACTAGCTAAGAAATCCGTCTTCACTGATTAAATAGACTGGAATACCATAGGTCTTAAAAGGAACGAGAGAATGTAAAGGTGCCTCTGCAATGGAAACTGTGTCTGAGATTGGAGTGCTGAGTCTCAGTTAAGCATGTGTTTCCAGGAATGCAGGCACCACAGGCATCAAAGCCGAGTTACAGGATCACACATGATCACCAGGGCTGTACACAAGGCCCTTCCCTGATTGTCATGCATTTCTTTCCTGCTATCTGCATAGCATAAGCCTACAAGGCTGCCCTGAAAGACAGCATTCTGTTTCATGACTACTCTATTCTTCTGTTTATATTCATTCTTGCAAAAATAGTTTTTATGTGCATATGCTTTAAACTTATCTCCTGTGTGTAAGTCATTTTTTTTTCCATCTTTTTATTTAAACTCAGACTACTTTGTAGAGATCTATCTGTGTTGAAGAGTGTACTTCTGGCTCATTGCTGTTAACTGGTACGGGATGAGTCATACTTTGTATCAGCCACATTGTACCTGCATAAATGCCTACCACCCCAAGAAATGTTACCCTCAGCAGACTTCTACTTATCACCATATGGCCTCATGCAAGTACTTCCAGAAGCAAATTTCTGGGTCACTGGGCATGCAGTGGATCTTTGACTTATAAACTCAATTCTTTTGTGAGGGCTGGTTGTAACTCGAGTTGGTCAATTGAAGGCTTGGGTTCCTCTACAAGACCTTCAAAATCTCGCTCCTATATACAAGCAGATCTCAGCATCCGGAAAGAGACATCAGCCCACGGACCTGGATTTCTCACACTGGAAAGGATGTTGTAATGTTCCTTCCAGAACTCCTTAAGAGTTAAATCTGTATCTGAGACCATCAGGAAGCACATGTGGCCAGCACTCAGGTCGTAAATCCGGACATTGTTCATAAGTTAAAAGAAAAATTCTAATCATAACCCAAGTTGTCTGCATGTCAGGACAGTCACAACTTGAGAGTCGACTGTACTTTTTAACTAATTGGTGCAGGATTGCTTTTCAGAATAGCTGAATCAACTGTGCACTCACAAGGCCCCACATCTTTGCTATCATTTGGTGCCTTAGTTTTTCTCTGAGAAGTCCTAGAAGGAGGCACCAGCAGATCAGATGTCTGGTGAGGATCTGGTGAGGGTCTACTTCCTGGATCACAGACCTTACTGTCTCATGGCCAGATTACATCCCCAAACCCCATTGCCTGTTATCACCTTGGGGAACAGGTCTCAAAATAGGAATCTGAGGGTACACAGCACTCAATCTGCAGCAGTTGGTAGTGTTTGGCTTTATTTTCCTTTTCTTAGTATTATTTGCCAACTTAATATACATAAAATAGTATCTTACTCTTGATTGAATTTGCAATTTTCAAATTTTAATGCGCTTGTGCACCATTACCTATATTTACTAGCTTCTTAAACTTCCGTTTTTATAAATCACCTGTACTTATTCTTCACCTGCTTTTCTATTAGCCATCTTTTATTTTATTTATATTGCTTTGTAGGGGTTCCTTATACATTCTAAATATTAATAGCACATTGATTATAGAACTTTTACTTCTGTATGTCTTATACCATAATGCAGAAATCCATAATGCCAAAGTAATCATACTCAATTTTCTTTGCATTATAATTATTTTGAGTTTTTAGGAAGCCCTTTCCTCTTTGTAATTCATAAAATATTTAGCTATGTTTTCTATTACAAGAGAATAACAATAGTTATTTAACTGTGCTTTGCTACCTAAATCAATTTCTCAGTACAAGACATAAACCAGAAAGGTCCTTACAAAAAAGAAATAAATAATAACACTAATAATAACATAATATCATGAAACAGATAAGAACACTAGTCTTTCTTTGTAACAAACTAAGATCATTTTAGACACTATCTAGTGACCCAGTTTTCAAATATAACCAAGTAAATAATTTAATACATGGTATGATTATTAAAGTCATTGAATTTCTTGGCACCTAATCCTAATCACTTTGCAGAGACATGAGTAATATTCCTGAAATTGGACATCATGACATGATATAATTAAGGATTAAACTGTACATTGAGGAACAATAAGTGCAGAAGAATTTCAGATAAGATCACCAAGGCTCTCATGGTCAGCAAAAGTTTTATATTATTTTACTCTTGTTTCAATAAGACAGGTGTTCTTTTCTCCCCACTTTCCATCAAATTTATTTTAAAAGAAGTACAGGATGGGCTCATGCCTCACCCTGAGCCACTCCTGTTTATTGTTGCTAAATCCTAGTAAAACCAGATTTTTCTCTCTTCTGTGTGGGTGCTAATTAGCTGGCCAAGAAAGACAGGTTGCATATCCTGCTCTTCCTCATAGTTCGGGCTTCACTGATTTGAATGCAAACGGAGATCCAATAATAAAATAGTTCATGCTCAAATGCTGCTGAAACTCATCCAGGCTCCCTGATGGATGGGAGAGACGTGGTTCTTCTCTCACAACATCCTCTAGAGAAGACTGCAGTAACCAGACACCAGGGACAAATGCTCCTGAGATGACAGCGAGGCTACTTCTCAACAGACCTATTGAAAACTTAAAATATTTGAAGTCCGAAACATCAGAGATCAGTCTAAATTTACCCTGTTCTACCCTAAACATGCTCAGGAAGTTTACATTAGCCTACAGTGGGGCAAATTCATCTAACCTGAAGCTTCTTTTATAATAAAGTATTACATAGCTCATAAAATTTATTGAATATCTGGAATCAAATAGTGCTAAAAGTACAGTGTAGAATGTCATCATTTAGGATTGCAAGAGCATCATATAGCATAGTGCTACCCCAGGAAAAGAACAAAATTCAAAAATAAAAGTACCCATATGTGTGGCATTCATATCATTATAAGGTCAAAAATGCATCAACAGAATCATTTTAAATTGAGATTGCCAAAAGGGTAGATGGCTTTAGTTTATTATTCAGATTTTATGAGTTTGAGTCACGCTGACTTGAGGAAGTATTTCAATTGGAGAATAAATTTCAGAAATAAAAAAAATATTTAAAATCATAGGATTATTACATATGTGACAATTATAAATGTGTAATCCATAATAATAGTAACAATTAACCATATGTCAAAGCCATGCACCCGACTGAGAGCCATATTTGCATTATCTTAGCTAATCTTTAACAACAACCTTATGAAGGCGCTACCACCACTGTCCCTAAATCAAGGTATAGAAAAGTTAATTTGCTCAAGGCAACAGTTGGTCAATGATACAGTAAGGTTGTTAAAGTATGTGTTTTGATTTGAGAGTCCATATTCTTAATAAACTGCCATCCTCCATGGTACTTGTCATCCAAAGAATCGTGCATATGGTTTTATTTCCATTTGCCATCTCCCCAAATACCTAGAAAAGTACATATTCCCAATACATTATTTTCTTTTTATTATTCTGTTAACATGAGATGGCAACCCCCAATCAGCATTAACAATGGCAACAGCTGGAATTTACACTGGATTTTCTCCTCCTCCTCCTACCCCGCCAAAAAATACCTGCTTTTATGTCCAAGCAATTTTATCTTCACAGGAATACCAGAAACAGGGCCCAAACTTATCCTCAAAATATCATTGAGGTTATGCATTTAGAGTTGTATAGACAAAGAACCTAGGAACAGAAAAAAATGAAGAAAGGTAAGTAGTGGTGCCTCAGTTCACAAACTTAATCAGTTTTACGATTTTGGAAAAGATGGCTATGCTTGTCTTTGTGTGGGAACGGTGGCCACAGTCATGTTTGTCACCCGATGTAAAGGCCAAATGCTTCTGT